CAATATATTTGATCAAATATCATTACCCTATCCGAAAATATCTTTAAAATTTGATTTCGAACTAGGTTTTTTTTGCCCATGCGGTTGCACGAGTTGTTGTTCAATTATTTATATTAGAACTTATATTTTATACTATTTTTTAGTTAGAAGATTCTAATTAAATGATTAAAGCTGAATTTGAAATTACTTGGTAATTGGTAATTGTACTTTTTTTATAAAATCGTAGAAAGCCACGTTAAATAAAGAAAGAATATTAAGAGAATTCAAAAAATATTCATTATTAATTTTCATCTCATAATCCAAATAAATCCTTTCTTTCAAAAAATTTAAAAAATAAATCTCATAATATCAATTATCTTACACTTTTTATTTTTATCAATCAAATGTATTTTTTCCTTTAACTAAATATATATTTTAATTTGTTAGATTCTTTCATTATCTATTTGATTTATAAAACCAATAATTGTAATCTTTTACATACTTTTTATAACATGTATTAATATCACTTATGTTAAGAATGTTTTTGTTTCTTTGGATTAGTTTTAGTTTTAAATTATATTAATCATTATTTATAATACATTTAATATATTTTAAAATATAAAATTATTATGTCATTAAAATCATATAATAAACAATTATTAATTGTAAGTTAATATAAATTCCTCCATAAATCCTAATTAAAACTTTCTAACCACTATATATTGTGTTTATCTATTCTTTATAGTATTCAATCAATCTCTAGTCTCTGGGTTAGTATTAAGGTATCATCAACTCATCCTAAAAAATTAAATTATAAAAATAATAGCTTTTCATTGTCAATCATCATTATCATTCATTACTAAATACACATATATATAAAAGTACTGTGTGGTTACATGAAAAAACTCTCAACTGTAACCTTAAACGCATCCTAAATTTAGGTTTTAACCTTTTGTTGTTTGGGTTAAATAATTCCCACCTATAAATTACTAATGACACTTTGGATTCAACATGTAAATTAAATGTCACCCAAACCATTAAACAAATAGCGTCATGGCACTCAGTTAGTGGAGCTGGCGCTAATTTGCTTCAATCATGGGACTTGAGGGTTTATTTGCTCCTTTTTTCGTTCAAGGGTTGATCACTTATTGTTGATCACTTATTGTTAGAAAAGTTGATGTTAGAAAAGCTGAGGGGCTTAAGAAGAGGTTTTACTGTTTTAAAGGTAAAGAAATAATACTCCAGTATAAATTATATTAAATTATATCATATTAACCATTAAATCAAAAATAAATTTTTTGATATTATGAATCTTTTCTTATCTAATAATTTTTATGTAATAATAAGATGCATTAAGATTATAAAATAATTTTTTTAAATTATTATTTTATATATATTATTATATAAAAATTTTTTAATTTGTGC